AGATGCGGAGACACAGGAGCGTCGTCTGAATGCTGTCAAGGGTAAGAACCTGTTGTATCTAGCGAGCAACTCATGGGCCGGGTCCAGTCCCACCTATATGGTGGAGATGATGGCGGACCTGCGCAAGCGAGGGTTGGTTATCTATGGTGTATTTGAGACACCCACTGAGGAGAAGCCCGAATGCACATATCTAGACCAGCTCAAGTCGGGCAACGCTGTTGATCACGTTCTCTTCGCAAAATTGAACTGTGAGGAGGCGGCGGCCAATGTTTGCGAGGCTGTCAAACATTTGGACGTAAAGTTCGATGGTGTATGGGGCGGTAGAGAACTGATCCAGCCTGTTGTAGGTGCTGTTGCTGAGATGCTGGACGCGCCTGGCCGCAACCCAGCACACTCGTACCAAATGGCCCGTGACAAGTACAAGACACGTGTTGCCCTTGCCAACGCAGGCCTGAACACACCGATGGCACACCCAATCAAGACAGTTGATGATGTACCAGCATGTGTCGAAGCGGTCGGATTCCCAATGATCGTCAAACCTACAGCAGGTGCTGGCTCTGAGGGTGTGTACAAAGTGTTCAGTGAGGAGGAGCTCTCGAATGCTGTGACGACGATTCTAGAAGATATCAAGGGCAACCCATTGCTATCTACACAAGGAATGACAGACTTCTGCCCCATTATTGCGGAGACTCTCTTAATCCCCATCATCTACAACGATCTCATCCAAGAATTTGACGTAGATGTGCTCATGTCCAAGGGTGAGGCAGTTTATGCCAACGTCATCGATAACTGGATTCCAGACGCGCCTTACTTCCAGGATAAGGGATTCAACTTCCCATCTCTTGCACCTAAGAACGTGCAAGAAGAGCTTATTGAATACTCCATCGCGTGCGTTAGAGCACTCGGCTTCGTCAATGGTAACTTCCACGTGGAGTCCATGTACACTGAGTACGGCCCTGCTCTACTGGAGGTGAATCCACGAGTGGGTGGTGGCGAGATCAATGCTTTCCATGAGCGTGTGTTTGGCGTGCACCCAAACCTTAATTTCTTGCTCTCACTCCTAGATATCCCCATCAACCCTCCTCGCTTCGATGCACCTGCAATGGGTCGTCTACACCATTTCATCAATGCCCCTGTTACTGGTGTCCTCGATGGTCTCACATTCCTAGATCACTTCGAAGGTCACAAATACGTGACAAAGATAGACTACATAGCCACGGAAGGTGCCAGTGTGCGTGGTATCGATACTGGAGTACCACAATGGCTGGGAGGCGTTGTTTTCGAATTCCCTGAAGATCAGATGTTGACCGCAATTGAAGAGCTCAAGGAGATGATGAAGGTCGCTGAGGACAATACGCGAAAGCTCATAACACCTATCAGCAAGTTCCCGTTACAAAGAAGGAAATCGATTGTGCTCGAAGTCGAAGAAGACTTGGAACCAGCGCAAAAGCGCAAGGTCAGAAAGTCCATCACCATCGACGATATCGATTTGGAGGAGATCTTGGCGTTGGAGGCTTCCATTTCCCAGGCGACTTTACAGTAGATATGTACAATACCTTGCCTTTATTGATTGTTATGCGAAGTTTGATCGATTTTGTAAGTCGGGAATTAAAAAGTTTATCTTGCAATTGATTTGATCAAATTGTTACCGAATACCAATATCCGTTTGTAATAAAAATGAACATTCTAGTAGTTACCTGCACGACTTTTAATATATATATATATATATATATATATATACTCCTACTATATA